CTGTTTATTTCTCTCTGCCTCTGTCTGTCTGTCTCACTGAGAGCCGGGTTAAATGCTCAGGCAGCCGGTTATGAGCACTGTGCTGGTTGTGCGGAAGAGCAGTTTCACTCCCTGTACCGAGGCCAGGCTCAGTAAGCTCCGAACTCGCACTGTGAGCCGGTGATGAAATGGTGTTGTTGAAACGATATCAAGCCCCCACCCCACAGCCCGTTCGTGTTACTTTGACTGAAACGTTGCCCAGATGAAAGGCGCTCGTTGCGTGCCGGAGCTGACATCCACCCGAACGCCCTTTTCCTCTGGGAACGAACGAACGCCTTTCCGATCTAAAAATATCGCGGCAATTAGCGAGATTGCCAGCGGATGAGCGGGCGATGCAGTGAGAGAGAGAGAGAGAGAGACAGAGAGATGGCGAGCCGGTTACTGCTGCCTCTGTCAAAGGGAATCATGTCCCGGGTTTATCCCAGCTCCCTGTGCAGCTTCTCACTAAACCGTGACAGGGACATGGAAAACAGCGTCTCACGGGAATGCACAAATGAAGCAGTTTGATCTGTACCTGAAGACTCCCAAAGACAAATGATGCAGCCCTTGGTTACCCCGACGTGTATCTGCCCCTTAGGGGTCACTGGGTAAAATGTGAAACTGCAGTCTGGTCAGAAACTGCAAATCTCGCCGCAGGTGGTTGAATGTGAAATTTGCTCACCACCAGGAACTCCCCTCCCCCCTTAACGATCACAGCAGCGGCCCGATGGAAACGTCCTCCCGTCTCTCTATCATCGCCCCCAGTCCTTCCTCCTTCGCAAATAAAGAAGGAGCCGCCAGCACCTTGTACTGAAAGTGGGCTCTCTGGATAACTCCGAGCGCTTCACACCCAGTGCAGCAGCTCCCTTATCCCTGAACCCTTGAACTGGAAGCGCCTGGTTCCAATTGGTTTGTACACGTTCATTGCCGAAGTGTAGTAGCTAATACTCCCGAGAATGATTTGGCCTGCTGACTTTTTATTAATGATTAGTCGTGTATATCAATTGGATATTAAAGGAGTGACTTTGCTGATAGTACAGCAAGCCTCAGCGCGTGTGTCAGAGTAACTGCTGTGTGAGAGAAAATATGTGTGAATGTGTGAGTAAATTATGCGTGAGCGACAGCGTGTAAGAGCGAATACCTGCGTGGCAGAGGGAGTAAATAGATGTGTGTGAGGGAGTGTGTTTGAGAGAATGGGAGAGTGTGTGTAGGTCTGAGTGTGAAAGTGTGAGAGAGTGTGTATGAGTAATTAAGTGTGTAAGAGAGTGAGAGAAAATGTGTGTGTGAGAAGGGGAGTTGTGGGTCTGTGAGTGTGAATGTTTGTGTGTCAGAGGGAGAATGTGTGGGTCTGTGAGTGTGAATGTGTGAGAGAGAGAGTGCGGGTTTGTGAATGTGTGTGAGACAGTGTGAGTGAGTGTGAATGTGTGTGCGTGAGTGTGAATGTGTATGAGAGAGAGTGCGGGTTTGTGCATGTGTGTGAGAGAGAATGAGTGAGTGTGAATGTGTGTGTGAATGTGTCTGTCAGTATGACTGTGTGTGAAGGGGGAGAGTGTGAGTCTGTGAGTGTGAATGTGTGTGTAAGTATACAGTTGTTCTCCCAAGTGCAGTGTACTCACACACTGTTCTAAAAGCACTCTCCGGACAAACATTGCCTGGTACACAACTGCATCCAAACGCCGTGCTTGGAAATACACAACTACATAATAACGGGCGCTTGTGGGAAAAAAAACTCCACACAACACTCCATTGCACCATAGTTTAAACCTGCTCACACCCAGGTTAGGGAAGGGTAATGTTCTCTCTCACACATGCAGATTTCTTTCTAAAGCCCGCAGCAGTTTTGTTCAGCAAATTCTAGAAACAGTAAGCACCATGCCTCACTCGGTGAATGGCCTCGGAATGACACGGGACACGATTCTCCTCTGAACAGCCACAAAGGGGGTGTATTGGGGGGGTTGGGGGAGGCAGATTCCTCCCCCATGGGCTGGGCAAGGCTGGAGAGGGGGGCGAGCCAGGTGGGAGCCGTTGAGTTCTAGCCCCGGTGAGGATACTGTTAGAAGGAGCAAGTTAAAGGGACCTTGGGCAGTGATGCTCAATGTACAGAGAGAGAAGTTCGGCCAGACCGCCCAGCCACAACTGCGAAGCTCAGTCCAAAACAAAACCTGCAATTTCCCCTCGGGACTCAACTGCGAGTTTTTAGGGCGGTGGAGCTTGCTGTGTGGGGGTGGGGGGTGTTATTTTAAAGCGGGATGGACTGCTTGGCAGAACATTTACTACAGCGAAAAGATATCCCCTGAAAGGTGTATGACTCTCGGATTCAGACGGAGGACCACACCTTGCAGTCAGACCAGGAAACAGCGCTTTAACCCGGCTCCGCTGTCATTAAACTGCACCCGATATTATTTCACATGCTGTTTCCACGTTGGTGCAAAACAGCGTGCATCCGCCTAGAGCCATCTAAAACCTATCGGTGGATCCCGCAATGTTCCAACCCTCTTCAATCCTGTTTACAATAACACCCGATACAACCCAATGATATCCTGGCTGCAGAATGTAACAAAACAGTTCACTGTACCCACTTCCAAATAACACCTCATACGTTGCAATGACATTTCAGGTCACATTTTATTTGTAATATTCTAACTGTGAGATATCCTATTTCACCTCCCTGTGATATTGATCTAATCTATAATATTCTGTCATCCGCTGTAATACTGCCGAATACAGTAATGCTCTGCCAAATTCAATATATTCCGATATGTTGGTTCCCCGGAGCAGAGCACACGCTGTAACGAATGACATTTTGTATCGCTTAATATGACGCAGTGGCCTCAGTAACTCGCGGTAATGTGAATTGGTCCCCTGTAATTCACCAGGATTCCTCAGAACATGGTAATATCACATAGTCAATGATACAGTGTAATATTATCTGGGTATTCTACACTGAACAACAAGATCATGCGTGGAACACTTTCCTGATACTCGATAGAAAGTGAAAAGCTAGCTCCCCACCGCCAAGTGAAACAGACTCAGAAAGGTCCCAGAAACTGCGCACTAATATCGGGGGTTCCTTTTAACTTCCTTCTCCGGCCTCCTCCTACTCATACTCTACCCTCAGATAGGGACAGCACCTCACAGCCTGTCTCCTTCAAACTCAAATCACTGCGGAGGCTGAAGAGTCACTGGACTCGAAACGTTAAACTTTTTATCTCTCTCCAAATTTCCTGCTGAGACTCTCCAGCACTTTGTATCTTAATTTAAAACCCTGTTCCTGTAAGTGCATTTCCAGGAAATAATTTGTTTTGGCGGATTTGTTGAACGAGATTCGAAAACACTGAGCTCGAGTTTCGACCCCACCCCCTTCAGAATCCCAGCCCAGCTCATTTAAGAAATATTTATGAATTAGACCAATTGGGAATTGCGTTCAACTCGTCCATCTCTGGCGGAGAGAGATGGCGAGTCACTGAGATTGGTCATAGCGGTCACAAGTTGGAATGAAAGACACTTCGAATATATCCATAATGATGGAAATTCAAGTGCTCAGTCCTTAGACTGGAAAATAAAACAGACACCGGAGGAGAGATAAATGCACAGAGATAAACACAAAATTCACACAAAGTCGGAGATACAGACACACACAGATCTGGTCAAAGACAGAGGCACAGAGAGACACACAGATATAGTCACAGACAGAGACAGGGTGACACAGATATAGTCAAAGACAGAGATGCACACAGCGAGACGCACAGACAGATATACTCAAAAACAAATACGCACAGAAACATAAACAGAGGCGGGCAGAGACGCATAAAGCGAGAGGGACACAGTTAACCACATGGACACACAACCAGGTATTTTCAAACACAAGAGGACACTGACCTAGAGGTCTAGTCAAACACAGACATACACAGAAACAGGCAGAGAGACACACAGATATACAGACAGAGAGAGAAAGATTCAAATTGAGTCAAACACAGACACAGATTCATGTAGAAATCTCCATCTCCTATATGTTGTTGCTCATGTGAAAGTAAACAGAGTTCCCGAAGCTGAAGCAGATTTTTCGCCTGATTAGAGATGTCCCGATGTAACATCATTCATTATCAGTGTTGCTGTTTAAAGATTGCTCTGCAGAACCGATACCACCCCGCAAACGCCAGCCCCACTTTCACTCACCCCGTTTGAGGAGACTAGCCCTGCCCTCCAGGCTGCAGTTCCAGCGCTCCGTCCTGAACTGGTAGCGGCACTCGAGCGCGCTGAGGCGGATCGCGTCCCGCAGCCCCTCCGCCAAACCGGGCTCCCTCCGGCACAGCCGCTTCTGGCGACGGAACAGCTTCAAGCTGTCACACTGTTTCAGGTGAACCTTCCCAGAGCCCGAATCCTCCGGCACCGGATTCGAAAGCACGGACAGCGGCTCCTTCCCGGTCAATCTGCTCCAAGAGAAAGGAAAAGAATGAGACGGGGGTGGGAAGGAGGATGGGGAGAAGTGAGAAGGAGAGGTAGCTGCCAGATAAACTGGGGCAAATACAGTGGGGCACAGAGAAATAACATGCAACTTTACACAAACAACCGTGGTTTTCTCTTTGAGTTCACTAGCTTTTGTAGAAAACCTGAAACATTTCAAACTCTATCCCTAGTTACTATTCCAGGGAAACCTTGGTCCAGGTTTAAACAGGAGGCTTCATCCCGATAAGAGTTTTTGGGAAGGTCGATGCTACATTGAGGAGAGTCAGGAACCGACCCGAAGTAAGGCTCTCCCGGGGGTAGGATGCTCGCCGCCGTCAGCAGGGTGATCAGACAGCCGGGGCTCGGGAGCCGGCAGCGCATTTTGTCCGCTCTCGGCCGCTCCTCATCTCGTCCGGCGCTGCCGGAGCTGCCTCTGATCAGCCGTTCGCCTGAGCGCTCCGCTAAAGTTCCCCCACCTCCCCCGGGCACAGCCCAGCCACCGTACCCAGCCCTCAGCCTATTGGCTCGCCTCCTGCCCACCCAACTGTCTGATTGGCTGCAAAGGGAAGCCGGGAGGCGGGATTTCTGGCCCAGGTGCCTGTGGTTCTGGAGCACCTGGAGGTGTAGCTGGTCCCAGCGCTGTCAGATACCCGGGTATAGAGCAGTCAGATACCTGGGTATGGAGCAGTCAGATACCTGATCCCAGCGCTGTCAGATACCCGGGTATAG